AGAGAGCAAACCAGATTTTTATAAAATTGTTTGCTTTCATATCTTTCGCACTGCGCTTTTGTTGACCCGTCTCTAAGGCATTGTTTGTGGCTGAGTTTTTGCGGTAAATTGCTTGCCAAAAAAAAAAAAAAAAAAAAAAAAAGTTTTTAGCCAAGTCAACTGAATTAAGCTGAATAAATATTTGCCAAGTTAGATTGTGTTGATATCAAATTCTTTAAAAAAATATTAAAGTATTATTTAAAATGTAATATAGAACTGCCTTTTGAAAATTCACTTGTGCACAAAATTTGATTAAAATCAAATATAATAACTGCAGAAGCAACCAGGCGAATTTAATTTCATATACCCTACGTTAACCCTTATGTTGTGCGTGCGTTCATTTCGTTGAATTCGTATTTACGACGAAAAAAGCTCAACATAATTTTTGACCATATTATTCAATCAGCATTTTTTTTTTTTATTGGTGTGTCAAGGGCTATTAAACATACATTTGCCACGCCTCTCTGCCCGGCCACTCACTGGTTGCCTTGTTAAATATTAACAGCGCTCAACTGATTTCTTTTGCTACTACGACTAACGAAATCATTTTTTGTTAAACCAAGCGTTTATTAAATTTTGGTAATTGCTACACGTAATATATATTTATATGTATATATAGATATGAATATGCGCATTAAAGATATTCTATATAAAATAGAGCATTAAATTAAAGTAAAATTCTAACAAAGTTTTCATTCAGACTCAGAGCTTCAACACTTAAAGTAAACTTGGCTTTAAGACATGTTTAATTGCTTTACCTTTAAGCCGGAAGATGCGTGCCCAGGTAGGTGGCACGTGTCTGGCATCAGTCAGGTACGGCAGCTAATGAGGCGCTTCGAGTGGAATGTCGCTTAAGAATATATATTTTATGAAAACTAAGCTAAATTTGATGTGGAAATAGTGGCTTACAAATTAAGCTTATTACACATTAATGTAAGTGGCCATTAGCTAAATGAGTTCCAGCATTAGTTACGGCTCCGCTGCGAGTCTATTTGATATCAAATAATTGATTTAAATTTGTTGGAGCGAAGCTGCGCACATGGGGGAACATATAAATCCCATTACCAATCGCTGCTGATGGCACACCCGGCCTGCCTGCGATGATATTCAATAACAGAGCTGCAAGTAAACCTCGTGATGAGGCGGCACACACGTAACCAATCTGTGCCACCCACGAGCTGGCTGCGAGCAACTCAGGTGTAGTTAAGTGGCAGCAGGGCAAAGCGTAGCTGGATAGCACTATAAGCTGATTGCACAAAGCCAAGCCAAGCCAAAGCAAGGCAAGCGAAGCCAAGCCAAGCCGAGCTCTAAGGATGCAGCGAGCAGGAATGCTTGAGTCAAGTGCAATGCATTATGTGATAATAAATATACTCTAAGCACTTAACTAAAGCAGCCAGTTGTTTTTTATAGATTAATTAAGGTCTCTAAAGGGAGCATGGCAAATACAGTGATAAGAATAAGCATACTTATGAAGGATAGTAATGAAAATGCTGAAGTGCAAGATTTTCCCCTATAAAAAACAGAAGAGATGTTTCTAAAGAAACAGATAGATGTTTCTCCTTGTGCTATGCTCAACTTTTAGCAAATATATTAAATATAAATATCATGTCAAATCATATCTTTCAATTAACTTGCCGGATATCATGGCAATCAGCTAAGCGCAGCATGATGTAGCTCTGATTTTTGCCTGCAGTTAGCAAACAACATTTACCACACACACACACACACACACATACAAAGCCACACCCACACCAACAGCCACAGCCACACATATATCATTATCAAATGCAGCAGCTTCGCCACTTATAACAGACATCACGTAATTACTGTAATGAGACTCATTAGATGCGACGAGACAGGAAAGGCGCAGGGTTCCACGGCTGAATGAGCACAGCCAGTTGCACAGCTGCACAGTTGCAGAGTTGCACAGTCGGTTGGTTGCCCCTGGCAGCGGTTGAGCCGTATTTGTGTTATGAGTGCCACATGCAACATGGCTGCCTTTGGCAGGAGCGCTGCGTTAACTTGTTGCAAACAGCCTTAAAGTTGCCACTACAATCGGGCAAATGACATCCACACCACAAGTGATCCAACGGAGCAGCGTCAGCCTACAGTGCCTGCAAAGCAACAAAGCAGCTGGGCTGACGTTGATGGGCAAACCCGAAAAGGCCAAGAGCTGAAGATGCAGTTGCAGCAGCAGCGGCAGCTAAAGCTGTCAACTGCCTGCTAATTGTTGTTGTAAATCTAATATGCAAAGGGTGCTGCAGTCGGGCAGGCAGCTGCCAGTTGAGGGTCTGCAGCAGCACACACTTCAAATGCACTCCTGCAATTCGATGGATATGTATGCAACTGTGTTTAAGTGTGTGTGTGTCTGTGTACATGTACATGTACACGTGTGTAATGCTAAAGCTTTAACGGTTTCAGCCCAAGCTGTTGGCTGTTGACTGTTGGCTGCTGGCTGCTGCACTTAACGATCCATGCATGAGTTGGCCCAAGCCTTTGCCGCAATTTGTTTGCCTCACTGCTGCGGCTTTAGGCAAAAGTTTTTCAATCAATTTCATATGAAAAGTTTTCATTTAATACACAAAGGCGGAAAAGTGCGTATGCTTAATAAAAAGATAATCAATTGCCATAATTGTTGGCATATGAGCAGCAGCAACAGCTGCTTACCTTGATGTTGATATACAATTTTATGAAGAATTAAAAGAAATGAAATTTAATTCAATGTGTTGCAATTTTATATATATATGCTGATGTATATAATTATTTTTTAATTAAATTGCCTGTAACATATTTCAATAATTATCCAAATATTCACAATATTTGCTCCTTATTTAAAGGTCTTACGAGACTATTCAATTCAGGTAAATATGTCTGTAGATCTCAGTTTTCACTCTTATTTATAGCATATAAATCAATGGCAATTTTATAATTAATAGAGAGCAGAAAATATGTGACTCTCGCACTTTGTCATTGAGCATATGGACGCCATTCAAACTGTCATAACAAACACATTTATAAAGCAATTTTAGACCTGGGCGCAATTTGGGAAAGTTTTCCAAGTCGCTTAACAGAAATTACAATTATAAATGAGCCTAATTAACGAAGCTGAAGCGAAACTTTAACTCCAGAACCCAGTTATAAATAAGCTAATTACAGCCATCAGCTGGCCATTTGTAAAGCCCCAAGGCGAGAAATCAATAGCTTGAAATTGAATATTTAGGGAGCAGAACACGGTTATTTGGGAAATAATCATTCCAAATAATTGACTGCTGCAGGCGCTGCGCCTCTATGGAATTCTCTGGCTGCTGAGCACGATTTAAGTATATTATTTACCATATAAGCCGAGACTAAGCTATCCAGTTGAGTCTCAAAAGTTTCACTGCGTCCTTTCTTTCAACTTTCACTTGCTTTTCTCTTGGCATAATTTAAATTTAAGTTCATTAATATGTTTTTTATTCCAAATTCTTATATGGCTTTAGTGCTTACTTCATATTTTCCTGCAAATTTTAAATTATGAGAAAACTTTCTCGATTATCGCAATTGCTGCACAAATTTAAATTAAAGCGAAAAAGTTAAATTTAAAATTCAATACTTACGCAGCATTTCTTTTGTGTAGTATGACAAACAAGTTTTATTTTTTATATATTTATTTTCTGGTGTAATTTATTACATTTTAATAAACAAGCTTTACATGAATTATTATAGTTCCATAGTTAGCGGCATGTAAATTACTTACTTAATTATTAAATAGCTAATATTATAAACGAATTACAGCTATTATAACAAGTAACAAATTGTTGTTGGCTTAAACTTTTTTTATTTGAAATGCCAACCATTTTTTTTTTGTCTATTAATTAAATTACATTTATTATAAGTACTGTGTTTTTATTTAGCTTGTTTACAGTATTTAAATAGATTTAATTCTAGTTGTGAAACATTCAAAGTGAGCTGCATTTGCATAACAAATACGTAAATTGATTTTTATTTATATTTATTTTTTTCAACGATTTAAATTTGCATTGGGAACATTAATAATTCATATTATAATTGATTGAAAATATTTGCGGGGGCTCAAGTGCAAACATTTTCATCAATATAACATAGCACACAAATACTACTTTTATTTTGAGAAAAAAAAAAACTCAGAGAGCGACCGATTGCATCGGTTCTTTAACGACTTCGTTCACGATCGGCTCGTGCCGTTTTTGTTGTTGTTTTGTGTTGCTCTTCTCGCTTGCCCGACCCGATTGGTTGAGTTTGAAGCAAAAGCTCTTTGTGCATGCGAGTGTGTGGTCGCTAAACACATCCATGTGTACGTGAATTGAGTGTGTGCATGTGTATGTGCATGTGCAGACCGCTTGCATTGATATTTTTGGTCTCTTTCTCTTTCCCACTTACTGACTCTCATTATGCGAACGCCAATCGCATCGTTCGTTAAACGATGTTCGTTCACGCACAATTCAAATCAAGCCGCTTAACAGAAAAGCAAAAGCTCAGAGCGAGAGCGAGTGAGTATAATTTTGTTTGTTCGATTGATCTCGCGAACAGAGTGTAAATAGTAAAACGATTAATTGTTATTTGCGAGCTATGCAATATACAGATTTATTATTATTATTTACTTATTTTATTTATTTATATTATATATATATTTTATTTTATTTTATTTATTTTTAAATTTATACAACTTGTTTTGAATGCAGCCTTCGCTTATCACTTAAAAGTATTGTTTATAAACAGTCGATGCATCTAAGTAAAATCGCTTGATTTCAACAATTTATATGGTATATACATATATGTATGTACATATAACTAATTCAGATTTGTATTATTATTATTGTTTAATAGTTAATAATATGTAGCAAAAGCTAAGGGTCTTAAGTACAAAAAGCTGTACTACATATTTTTAAATTATTTCGAATCCTATGCAAATTATTTGTAATAAAAAAAATTAAATAAAATATTTAATCAATATAAATTGTATAAATGTTCATATATATACAATATCTTTCTTTGTTTGTTATTCAAATGTAATTATTTATCAGACGGTTAGTCATCCTGTTTGATTTGCACTCGACAGGCGCGTATCCTTGCATGTGCACACAGAGTTCGTTGAATTTTTATTTTGAAAATGGCATTGCCAAGTCAATGGTGCGTATGAATGATGTGCATTATTATCTGTTTATTCTTTGCATTGTTATTCTATCAAGTTTGGCTGATGTTATGCAAAACGCCCTAATGTATGCATTTTTTTATTGCGTGCGCACCACAGAACAACTTTTCAACCGTAAACTGTAAATTTGGACCAAATATATATATGCATACATATATATTTATATATATATACTTTATTTTTATTGAATTTCATTTACATTATCAGCTATATCTAATTACGTCCGCGAAACTACGTGAGTGGCAATGCTTCACCTCTGCACAGACGATGATCCACTGCACCGCTGGCACTGTCCACCACGACGACAATGGCATGGCATGGCCTCTGCTCCCGGGTATTGTCGCCAGCCACATGGCCACGCGCTTGCAGCTGCTGCTGTGTTGCGTGCTACAGATTCGTCACTTGGGTGGTTGTTGTAGTGGTGGTGGCAGCCAGTGTCACCACTTGTGGCTGCTTGTGTATCGACTGACACTTGTCAGGTGCCGCCGCCACCACCGAGCGCTGCAGTCCATCCGCCCTGGTCGCTGTCAGCTCATCCTGCGCCACGGGCAGCCACTTGTCCAGAAACTTTGGGCGAAACAGCAGCGTGAATGTGCTGCGAAATTGTTTGCTCATGGAGCAGTAGAGTATGAAATTGATGCTGGAATTGATTAAAGCCAGTATGTCCATGAGGTCACCTAAGGAGTCAAAAGCGAATGAATTTATATGCTGCGCAGCTCGAGATGCCATCGAGTTGCTATACATAGTTCACACTTACTCAGCTTGAGATAGCACTGCAGCAGGAATGCATTGCCCAGCACCGTGTTCAGCAGCCCCATGATGCCCTGCGGGAACTCGGTGATGAGGAACAGCAGCAGCACCGCCAGCAGCATGCGTGTGGTGCGATCCGTTTGCTTCTCCTTCTCCAGAGTTTTGCTGTTCTTGCGCGGCCGCTCGGCCGACTTGCCGTTGACCACGGTCTTGGTGCCGTTGCTGGACGCCACCGCCGTCGACGTCGTCGAGGCCGGCTTGCTGGTCAGCTTCTTGCGCCGCCGCTTGGCCTCCAGCAGCGCCAGGATGAGCCGCACCGAGAGTATGGTCAGTGCGATGCAGGGTATCAGCTTGATGACCACGCTGTAGATCAGGAACGTGGCATTCAGCAGCAGGGGCTTGTGCAGGGCCAGGTCGCTGTGGGACAGCCGATAGACGGTCACGTTGCGCACCACAGTGGGCGGGGGCACAGCGGTGGTCGGCATGGGCGTGGTGCTCAACACGCTCACGTTCAGCCCTTGGGTATCGTTGGCCATTAGGCTGAGGGGCGTGGCATTTAGTGCAGGAAACGCGGCGGCTTGCAGCTCATTTCGATAGTCGATCAAGTACTGGCTCACGGGCACGCTCTTTATCACATTGCCCTCCGCATCCAGCTGCTCCATCCATTCGGCAATGGCCGTGATCAGATAGAGCGAGGGCGAAACCACCAGGACACACACCACATACGCTGTGGTGATGGTTATTATGGTGGTGCGCATGCCGCACCACAGTCGATTCTTTTGCGGATAGCCCACCGCAATGTAGCGCCACACGGCCAGCGTCACAGTCAGCCAGATGGAGATCGTGTGCAGCACCTGGGCAAAGATCGAGTGGAACATGATGAAGCAGGCCCAGCCATAGCTCAGCTTCTCCTCCCGGGGCAGACTGTCCTTCAGTATGTAATCGTGCACCGTGTACGGTATATACTCCAGCATGACGGCCAGGTCCGCCACGGCCAGGCCCGTCAGAATCGCGTTCGTGGGCGAGCGCATCTCTCGCCGCGTCAGCACGATGATGTTCAAGGTATTGGCAATGGTGCCAAGTATGCAAACCACCAGCGAGATGTAGCCGTGCATGTTCTTATAGCTGAAAGAGAGAGAGAGAGAGAGAGAGAGAGGGGAGACAGAAATGGAGTTAATGAGCAGATGGAATACCTAATGAGATTATCTATAAATAATTTATCCTGGCTAATACCTGTCTGGCAATAAGAATGTTGCTTCGTAAATGTGACCTTTAATTACCTAAGGCTTGCGTGTGGTAAGATGACGATTGGGGCTGCCTGGGCGGCTGCTTAAATTACTGCCTGTCTGTCTCGCTGTCTTTCTGTAGCAATTAGATGTGTATCTAACACTTGGCCATTACGTGCCGAATTGGCAAGGCGCCGCTGGAAAGACGTTGTCACGACCAGACAGACTCACACTCGGTTAGTCAGCCACTACAAGCATCACTCAAGATGCACCGAGGACTACGAAAAAGAAAGCAGCAAGTAAGGCCATTGCAGTCGAGCCTTATCGACTGCAGAATACTCATTCACCACGAATCGAATGGACTGTAGCATGTCAATGGGAATTTAAGCGTTTAAGTTTTCCAACTGTAGAAAATCCAATTTTTCTCGATTAGCTATCCCGCTAATTGACGTCGATATATACGTAAATCTTTGTGGGTAAATCTCAGCTCTCAACTTTCTAGCAACTTCAACCAGAAATGCCCCGAGTGGGCGTGTCGAGATAGTCTTGACACTTTTAATTTGATGGTATAACCGAGTATATGATATAAATTTCAAGTTTCCAGCTTTAATAGCCGTCAAATGGCTTACATTCACATCTACAGACGGACGGACACTGCACAAAACGAATATAGTAATTTCCCGTTACTGCATGAGCATAAAGAGAAAGAAAGAAAGACAAATTGTGTCAACAGTCGCACAAAGCCACAGACGCCGACAGACGTGCATTGAGTGCAGCCCTTTCACATGTCCACTGTGAGGGCAACGCGACGTATGCGCAATATTAACATCAAAGCTAAAAGGCAAACGGAGCGACATGCATAAAACAAGCAATTAACATGAATCAACAGTCGTGTTCATTTGACAGCTCGTTATTCTTTTTTCTTTTCTATTTTATTTTTTTGGTGACAATAGGAGAAGCGTTTTCATTGCACGCCCGTGGGAGAGAACAGCCGAAAATGATGTCAAAAATAAATGATTTGCCATATGAGAAAGCCGAACAAGAAGCAGAAAAAAAGCAGCAGCAGCAGCAGCAGCAGCAAAAATAGAAATGATTCCATTTTGATAGACAGCCGACATCCCACATCATGTCACATCATGTCGTTGAGGCAGTTTTTGTAATGGCTTTTAACTCGTTTCCGCCTCTGGCAGACGGCAGAGGAATTGATAGCGCAACGGAAGTGTTTGCCGGTTTGGGAGAATACCTAGACAAACTACAGGCATGTGGCGTATTTGCAGGTAAACAAGCTCACCTTCCTGTTTTTTTTTACCATTTTCATTTTGTTGACGCATTTTGTTAGTGGCATATTTGAGAGAAACATTCATCAAAGACTTTCGCAGCGCGCGAATTCCGCGCGCATTTTCCTTGTCTGCTCATTTAATATAGAATACCTGGCTTAGTTAAATTTATTGCTCCAGCTAATCCACGTTGATGGATAGCCATGTGGCCATGTTTATGTACGCATTAAATTCCTCTGTTTGTTAAAGTCTCTCTCTACTAGAATGGCTAGCTACTCCAAATGAGCTGCATGTGAAGCGCCTTGAAAATGTTGTTTAAGTCCCTGGGAAGCTGTTCCAGCTACTAATTGCTGGCCAGGCATTAGACTTTGCATTGCTGAGCATGTTTGTGATGCTAAAATTGGAAATGCTGTGCTGTGAGCCGCATAACATAACCCAAACAATTCGGCATCATTTCCAGGTATTTCAAGTTTACTGTTGAACAACTGGCCCACTGTTTCAGGTCCTCTCAGGCGCAGCAAATGGCCAGCTGTTACAAATCTCCAACTGGTCGTAAGGCAAACACGAGCTGTGAATATTTCATGCGAAAGTCGAGGTTTCAACAAATAGCTGAACATTACATCCAAGTGCGGCCTGAATGGCCGCAGCTGGCCAGCTAGAAATAGTTGCCTCAATGTTAGCTCGGATATGCAGAGCTCTTACGATCATTGCATAGCTCTCGGCTCCACTTCTACGTGCATCTACACTTACAATTAGCAGATTGAGTATAACCACTCTATAACAAGAAAATTTCTATTTCTGTTTATTTTCAATATTTTAGCAATATTTTCAATTACTTTCAACAATGCCGGCATGTAAATAATAGAGGAAAGAGAAGAGAGAAAACGAAACTTTAACAAATTTCCAGCACTTTCAGCGCTTTTGTTTTGCTGTTTACTTTGCATTGTTGGCTAAAGAAAAGAATCAAGATTTTTACTTAAAAGCAAACCAAATATATGTTTATGGCAGCACTGGGATCGAGTGTGTGCAGCAGCGGACCTGAGTGCCAAATGGCAACGTGTGGCCGCATTAAAGCTGCCTCCTGTCTGGAGTCAGACTGGCTTGATTGCCCCACACTTTTATGTAAGTTTAATTTCTTGCTGAGCAAACAGCCAAGCGGCAGGCAAGGGCACACCCCCACCTCCTGATGCTCCATTTGAGGGCTCACAAAGAAGAAGGTAACACCCTGAGGGCTCAGTCGGCCACCCGTCACCCACGTACGTTTACGTTTCTTTTTTTTTTTTTTTTTTTTTGAGGCCCAAAAGTTTCGGTCACCATTGAGCTGGGCCGTAAAAATTTAGAAATATTTCCAAATGCTTTTGCCTCTTTGGCTGCAAACTAAACAAAAAGCCAGGATGTGAAAAATTTATTCGTTCTGTTGTAAGCAGGCAAATGCTGCAGGCTTACAGTCCTTATTGGCATTGCAGGCAACTTTGTTTGCTCTGCACACATACAACAAACAGCACTTTCTCTCTGTGTGTATATGTGTGTGTGTGTGTGTGTGTATGCTGCGTGTGTGTGGCACGTGTGCAGCAGAGCGACTATAAAATTCAAATGCTTAGTCAATGTTAGATTGATAGAGCGCTAAGTCGCGAATATCGGCGCTGCATTTAAATGGCTAATAAATGAATTTTTTATTACAGCTGAAATTAATTGACTTTTACTCTCATTTCATTTCTGTTTATGTATTTCTCTGCTGGGTGCTATCAAATATAATTTAGTAGGGGCAAATAAAAATCTAGAGAGTTCAATTTTTACTAGTTTAACCTTGTCATGATGCAGACATACATAAATGCCAGCTCTTATTTCTCTGAACTTTTGCAAATGCGGAACAATAAAAACTGAAATTATATTGCAAAAACATTTTGAGTGGTTATAGCAAGCAGCAGAGAGAGAGTGAGAGAGAGAAAGGGAGAGAGCTGCTGCATGCTGCGTGTGTGAGTGTATGCTATGTAAGTGCATGCACATGTCTGTGCGTATGTGTGTGTGTGTTATATATTTTGTTATTGTATATGGATGTGATAGCAAGCACACACTCGACTAGAGCACTCTTATTCGTTCTCACCCCTTATACCTATTGATGAGCAATGAGCAAAGCGGGGTATATGGGTGTTTAGTGGGATAAATGCATTTCCTGTTGAGTTTAGCGGATATATGAAAACTAAAATTCATTTTAGATATGAGACTGATTTATATCAAGCTTGAATGAGGAAGAATTTGATTAAATTTTATTTTATTTTATTTTAATTTAATTTTTATTTATGTAAAACGAGTCTGATTACTTTTATTTATGAATCTAAAAGTAGTAGAGGCAAAGTTTTTCAATATCGACTCACACTAATATACTCCGCTGCTAATATAGCTGGAGGATCAGTTAAAAGTCTTGTTGGATCATCTCATACGATATTTGGTAAGCAATCTTCTTCTTCAATCTATAATTCATTCAACAAGAGCATAATTCCCTTTCAGGGTATCATCCTGTCCAGCACTTGCCATTGGCACACTCTTACGGATATTCCTATTATTTTCATATATTTCTCTCGTTTTACGAGCGTTGAGCATGCAATTTAAGTAAATATTTTGCGTTGCTCATATTTTATAGTTTAATTACATGTAATTTTTTTATAGCTGCTGCTGCAGCGGCTTCTGCTGCTGTCATAAAAAGCTCGTTTGACCCAAAATAAAAGAAATTGTCGAAATGTAAGCGAATGAGTTGGCGGCAATGTATTCAATTCATCGATTTTGGCAGTGCTTTAATTTCTAAATATCCTGGCGAGTGCAGTCGGCGTTGTCCTTGGGGAATGCTCGGACTGCAGGCATTGCCATAGACTTACCTCGTATGGAAATTATCCATGCCCGTGCCGCAATAGAGCGGCGTCGTATCATTGCTGCTAGCCATTGTTGTTGCTGTTGCTGTTGTTGTTGTTGTTGACACTCTAGACTGCCAAGGTCAGCAGTGGCAGAGGCAGCGGCAGAGCCGGGGGCGGTGTCAGCGGTTGCCTGTGCATGAAATGCGTTGCCCGCAGATGCATTAAAAATTTAATATTGTTCAAATGTCTGGCAAGTGCTGAAAGTGAAATAGATGATAATATAGCGTTAAACGTGGCGTATGATTAATTTAAATGGCAAACGGATGCGTATGCGCCACGTGCGCCGCAGCTACTTAAATATTTGATCACGCGCCTTAGCCCTAGCCCACAAAGTCGATTAGCGAAATGCGACAAAAATATCTCATGCGGCTCACGTCAAGTGGCTAAGCGGGAACATGCCCCCCGCACCGCACCCACAATTTAATTGCCACACTGACCAGCTGCATTGCAATTGCTGCTGCAACCGCCCCCGCTGACCCAACTGACCCAGCTGACCCAACTGACCCAACTGACCCAGGCAAATCGCATTAGTATTTGTGCAGCTATATGCCGGAATTATTCTCTTTATGCAAGGGCCAAATTAGATTTGTATTTGCAGCGCACGCAACCGAACGGCACGTCTTGCTTGGCAAGTGTTATCTGTCTTGTTGCTCTTGTATCCCACTCTTCGCATCTGTAACTGTAACTTTCTATCCATTTCGCTCAAATCTGCTGCAGAGCTCGTGTGCAAAGCCATTTGTTATCTGGCATGCGCTTTGCTTTGCACTCGTTGTGCGGTTAGCGCAGTTTTTCTCCGCTTTCCACAGTTTTTAATTGCATTTGCACGAGCAACTCCACTTGGCCAGCCCGTGCAGGGCGCGAACCACAGGCTACAGCAATTAACACGTACCACGGCAGGCGAAACCGCAACAAAAGCTCCTTAAATATGCAGCACAGCCAGCACGCCGGTTAGCAGGCAATTTGATTTGGAATTGGAATGAATTCGAAATGCACAGATAATAGTTAACCAGCTGGAGAGCGCCGAGGCTAGCAATTTAGCTTTGTAACTAATCGCATTTAGTTGCATCATTTTTTGGGCGGTGCTGAATCGTAAATTGAAATCGCGATTGGCCTAATGTGAAACGGGTTTTTAATGACGTTTATAGTCTTAGAAGATCCTTGATTGAATAATTGAATGAATATCTTTGCAGATCTTGAGGTTACTTATAGATATTGCTGCAGTATATTTATTATAAAGTTATTTCGTAGAGCATATTCAGCTTGGCTTCGACAGTCATTTAGACTTATAGCTATAAAAAAAAAAAAATGAAGATGAACAACCAATATTAATTGAATTTACCAACCAAAACCTTGACTTAACTAATCAGAAAGGCCTTAACGCAGTGAATTCTAATTAGAGTCTAGAGCTTATCCCTTATCTAATCGAAATCTATTTTATTAATATTTTGGTATTTAATATCAAGATTGCTAGTTATAAAAAATGTTGTTAAAATATTTGCAAATATTTCAATTTAAAAGTCATTTTAAAAATGTGAAAAAAAAAAAACAAAAAATATATAATAAATATTCTTTAATTAAATATATACATTTATATAAAAATTATAATTATTTATATATAATTGGATATTATTTTTATTATTTTTAATTTTTTCTCACTTCTCTTATTTATATAATTGAAGATTATTATTATTATTTTTTCTTTTTTAATTTTTTCTCGCTTCCTGATTAGTGCTAATTTTGGAATACTCTTGTCTGATTATAATTATTGATTATCAGATTATCAGATTGTATTGTTCTCTGCCAATCAGTCTGCGCTGAAAAATTTAATTGATAACAAAGTCTGATTGGATTAGCTTCATATGCAAACTTTACCCGCATATTGCTTCCACAAAATTGCTAGCTTCCATAAATGTTATGGACAAGTAATATAGACTTTTTGCAATAATTTATTTAACGTCTTTAATTTCCCTACGCTTTAATATGCAAGAGAAATTCCGATGGACACACACGCAGGAAACGGCTCGCTCACCAGCTGCGCTCGCACAACGAAATTCAAGGAACTATATACAGTTAAGAGTGCGTATTAATTTACTTTTAATTACATCAATTATCGACCGTGTGTGTGTGTGTGTGTGTGTGTGTAATGGCATGACAAATTAAATGATTAATTAGGCATATTTGGTGGCGCTTGCTCGAGCGCGCACAAAAGTATGCTATAATTTTCGCAACCCTGAAGGAGACAAGCGAAAGCAACAGATTTTATCGAATCAAGCTGGGCATCAATTCGGGAATCAACGCAATCAATTACACAACAACAGGAACTTCATTTTTCGCTTGAAATCCCTATTAATAACACAAATGTGGCAGAGATTCTCATTCTCATCTGTGGCACAGTTCAGTGGGCACACGTACAATGGACAATTGAGGCAGCGACTGATTTGTGCTTAGGTAGCTGCCCGGGAATGCCAATGCCAGTGAGTGAAAGAGATCAGCTACAAATCGGAATGCTTTCATTTGTGGCTGCTCCGCCTCCGCCCCAGGCAGACGGACAGCTCCAGTGTTGCCTTTGTGGCCAGCTGGCAAACAATGAGAAATGGCAATGACAAGTCCGATTGAAGGGATCACGTAACCTCAGAGCCAGACCCAGAGTCAGAGCTAGCCTTTTCTTTGCTCACTCGCCTTTGTCTTGGCCCCAGTATTATGTGGCTTGAGCACTTGATTTATGCATTGCAGCGTACATCACGGACATGACGGACTTAAAGCCGGCGCCCTTAAATTAATATGCATTTTCTGCCCTTGATTACAGTTATTGATCCGAGTGTGTTTATGTATTTTGCTCAACACGTTCGCCATTTAGTTTCATGCTTTGCTTTTTGCTTTTTGCATTTCATTTATTTTTGTGTGTAAACAACAAGTTGGGTTTGTTTACGCCAGGCGAGCCCCATTGGCATTATTTAAAAATTGTACTTTGCCACGGTTGCTCATTCACAAAATGAAATTGCAAGCGATGTGAGTTTACTGCGAATGGGCGGGAGATAACAGAACATAATAGCCAGCGATTTATGAAAATACCTTCAATCAATGAATCTAAATTGGTGCCGAGGGCGGAGAAGAGAAAAGTTGAATGAAGCCGAAGTGCGCAAAAAAATTACCAGGCTATGCCGAAGTAACTGGGCTATTGAGAGAAGGAGAGAATGCTTAAGGTAATATTGAATTAATAGAATAAGATAGTGAAGAGTAGGGCATGGATTTGCATTGATTCCTGTGCAACTCTCGCGACTATTTTAAGCTCTTGCTTTCCCTTTTTCTCTTTCTTATATTAGCTCATGCTCATATACAAATTTATCTTTCCCTCTTTGTTATTCTAGTAGAAATATGAAACTGCTCTACTTTTCTCATTATAATAGGAACTGATTGAGGAATCTGTTCGTCTGTCTGTCTGACTGTGTGATTCTCTATTACTGTTTATCTTTTTCACTCTCTCTCTCTCCCTCTCTAGAGCTTCCCCTCTACCTGTTTCTCCTCTCTGCCTCTTTCTCTATCACTCTATCTGGTTTTGCATTACTTGTAGTCTCTTTCTTACTTTATTCCCTTTTTACACTCTCAGTATCTGTCTTCTTGTCATTCTCGGCCTCTTGATCTCTCCTTCTTACCTTTTACTCATCTTCTTCTCCTCTTTCTATTACTTTCTCTGTCTCTCTTTCTTCTACTTGAATAGATGCTGATATGTGATTCTACATCTCGCTGTCTTTTAATCCCGCTCTCTCTCTCTCCCTCTTTCTAACCGTTCTCAGCTATGTTGTCTGCCTCGCGACTCTTTAATATATATTTATAATTAACTATATTGTGATGCACTCTCACGCGGCTGCATTGTAAATTTCTCATTAGTTTTGTGATTTTCTTGGCAACAGTATCAACATCAACAGCCACAACAACAGCCACAACAACAGCCACAACAACAACCACAACAACAGCGATAGCAATAACAAAACACCATCATCAAACTGTAACAAAGGCCAGCCGTGATTATAATAGAAGAGCTGACAGTCAAGCCAAGTGACGTGTAGTAGGCGAGTGAGGGGGCGTGCCGTGACGCTGTGCCACACTTAAAGTTGCATACATAATGCACACGAGCTGTCACGGCTCCACAGCAGCAGCAGCAGCAGCAGCAGCAGCAGCAGCAGCAGCAGCAGCAGCAGCAGCAGCAGCAGCAACAGCAGCAGCAGCAACGTTTAACTCAGCTGACGTATAATACAACTTTAATTGCTGGAATCTGCACTCTTGGCTTAAACGCCGCTGCTTTTGGCTTAACGCATTATATTTATCATGCTGTTGGCTTCCACAAAACAGTTGAGTCATGGCCACAGCGCAGCATAAATTGCAGGCGTGTGGGTGGCTTGGGTTTGTATTGCATTGGATGATTGTGGACTTGTTGTGGGCGGGGCTAGCATTGAATTGTTGCTGATGCCACATGCAGCACGTTTGCTTGGCCCCTGGCCATGACTGTGTATATATGTATGTATGTGTGTATATTTATGTGGAGAGTACAAGCACAGCTACAAATACGTATACAAATGCAAACATAACAGTTAACTGTAAATATTTTGGCAGCATTTCTATTCTGTCAGCTAATATCCTAACAAATTTCCGCCAGATGTCCTCGGCACAATCACCAAAATATTCTTTAATCTTCACGCTCTCTCTCTCTCTCTCTCTCTCTCTCTCTCTCTCTCTCTCTCTCTCTCTCGCTCGGTCTGTCTTTCTGCTCTCTGGTTTCTAGTCTTTTGTGTAGCTTTCTATGCCTGACTGCGCAAAAACAAAATTCTGACAATCTGTGTCAACTGTTGGCCAAATGCAAACGCAAAGCATAGAAGGGTTCGCTCATTCCGGATTAACAAATAGGCAAATACATATAGAAAGGAAATTGTTGCCATAGTAATTTACTTTTTTTGTTCTGATACTGTCTGAGCTTGTTTCAAGTGGGCTACAAAAGAATTGTCTAAATTTAAAATTAAAAAAAAAAAAAATACAACAAACAAAAATGAATACTTTGCTATGACAATTTTTGTTTTTAATATTCAACTGGTCTCCACTTGAAATGGGGCTTCAGGGAGGTATGCAAAAGAATATGAAGAGCTCTCCTAAAATTTCAAATGAATATATTTTTAATCAGCATCAAGAGCCAAGTCGAGTTGTT